CATTTTTTTTTTGTAAAATATTTATTAAATTTTGAAATAAGAAAAAGAAATTAGAAAAATTGGGTGGCTATCCACCACAAGTCGCTCAGATATGATGGAGCATAAGATCTCATGGACGGCTAACTTATGTTTAAAAAAAAAATCTCTTTCTAATTTAATTTTTTATTAAAATTTTATAATTTATTTAGAGAAGTAATTAGCTGTCCTGCATCGCACTACAGTGCCATTTCTTATGTTTTTAAACCTCCAGCATATTACCGCCGCGGAAGCATCTTAGAGAATTTACCTTTGAAGAAGTTAGGAGAGAGAAGATGAAGCTCAAGGTGTACGCCGATCGATTGTCGCAACCGTCACGGGCGATCATAATCTTCTGCAAGTAAAGCCTTCAAACCCTAATACATTTATTTTTTCGTTAAAACTTCAACAAGCAGTGATGTTTTTTTTTTTTTAATTTTTTTTTATCTTTCTTTCTGTTGTTTATTTTCCAGGATAAATGGAATTGATTTTGAGGAGGTGAGCGTAGATCTCGTTAAGGGCGAGCATAAATTACCGGAATACAAAGGTTCTTCCCAAGAAATTATATTTTATGTACAACTGTATTGTATGCATTAAAACTGGCAGAATCAGTAAATAAGAAATTAGATTTCGGCTGTAAAGTTTGTTTTAGAAGTTTTTCCTGCTAAAAATGTGGCCACACAAATCTTTATGGTTGTTATTAGCACGGAAAGAAGAATTTCGGAGCTGGATGCTTACAGCCTTTATCAAGTATATGTTGTTTTTGTGAAGGTTCACTGAGGGCCTCCATTTGTTTGGGCGAGACGGAGAAATACTAAAAAAAAAAAAAAATTGTGAATATTTTTTCTGCCATGATGAACTCCATTTTTGTACAACTCATGATTTCAGTAAATCGGTGTTCATCTTTCATTCATTTGCGGATTATATTTTTTGAAGTTTCCTTTGCTGATTCAATTAAAAATGCTTTGAAGAATAAATGCATTTTATCCTTTACTTACATTTTGTAAGCACTTCGCTTTCAAGATGGAGCACACATGAAACAAGTAAATTTTGGTTAACTCATCTAGGTCAATTTTGCAGATATAAATCCCATGGCACAGGTTCCAGCAATAGTTGATGAAAGGCTTAAACTATCTGAAAGGTAATTCCTAGTTTTCTTTGATTGGTTTGTAGACCAGCATAATCATGTTCTTGATTTTATTTGGATTTTTCTTTAGAGATATGCCAATTTTAGTCCAAGAACATAGCCAACTAATAACTGTTAAAATGCTTGCCAAAATAAAGTCCAATTTATTCCACAAGTGAGACAAAATATATATACTATTGAATTAGGATAAAATTCAGGTGGGCTATTGGTAACATGCTAAACATGTGACCTTCATTGAACCAGTTATTTTAGGAAAAAATGATTACCTTAGTTGACTAACAAAAAGATAATTGTGTCTGGTTTCCTAAGGTTAAGGAGGCACTTTATATTGGTAAACATTTTCTTGAATTCCTTCACATTGTTTCATCCTAGCATCTCTTAGTTTATTAGTTGTGGATGAATTTCCAGAAAAGCTCCTGCCTTAAATTAGGTTCCCTTGATTGAGCCCAATGGCATTTCTTATCTATTAGTCCACCAAAGATTGAAAGAGAAAGAATAAGAGAGCTTATGAGAGAAAGTTTTAAGTTCAATTCATTCATCAATTGATCCAAATACAAGTCATGAATCCCCTACTCATAAGAATAAGGTTATATAATAAGATGAAATGAACCGTTAAAAACAAATCTAGTCATATCTAAAATTAAATTTAATTAATCCTAATAAATATTTAAATTCAAACCCATCTAGAATTAAATCAAATTTTATCCTAATGAATATTTAAATTTATCAAAATAAAGGCAAGTCATCCTACTAATGCCTAATTCTAGTGATCACATGCCACCTTTCAATTTCTTCCCTTAGCTGCGACTTGCAGTCTACTTCTCTTGCTTGCAGCTCCTATGAGTTGCTGCTCGCAGCTTTTCAATCTCATGCCTGTTATGCTCATTGTCATTATTCATGGTGCATTGCTGCTCGCACCTTTCCTCTTATGCTTCATCCCTTTGATACCACCATTGCATTTGGTAAACTTGGGCTTCATCTTGTTTGCTGCCACTTGGGCTTCGTCTCCTTTGCCACTTGGGCTTTAGTTTGTTTTCTCTATCGCACCAATTTGTTGCATCCCACTGTTGATGTGTCGGGCTATACCCTTGGCTATTGTTCATGTGCCATTGGTGATGTCAAGGCAGCCATCCTTTACCTTCCTTCGTTAACCTCATCTTTCATCCCCTTGTTGCTCATGCTTCTCGTTGCTGGGATTGAGACTCCACCACGTGCTTTGCCTTTACCTATTCTTTTCTATCGACCGTCTTTGAATAATCTTGTGGTTGGTGATGGTCATCCTTCTTCATCTTGCCAGATCTCTTAGGATACTCATGCTTAGCCTCCCAAGCCTTTTCCCACTTTTTCATTTATTGACAATATTAGGGTGAATAGTTTCTTGCATTCGTTCTTGACTTCTAATATCTCCTTATTTTTTTAGTATGGCTCATATTTAATTATACATAAGCTGGCAATTAGCTTAGTTGATAAACCCATTATAAATTTTTTAGAGGTAGATTTTTCTAATTTGATGGCTCTATTTTCTTGCAACTTGATTGAAAATTTTTCTTTTGATCATCCGAGCTTGGAGATTATTTATACCTTTATAGATGATCTTTGTTTGTTAGGTCAGTACACTCTTCGACTTCTTGGTTGACATCATATGCTTATCCAATTATTTTTAGAAGCATATTATGTCACGACCCGGCCCGGCTAGCCCGATAAAATTGAGGCGGGAACAGTAGTCGTACGAAAAATACATATAAAACATTAACAGTTCCAATTAAAACTTTAATGTCAAATTACAAACATCATCCATAAATAAAAGAACCACTAAACAACATCAAATAAAAGAGAGATTCATACTGATCATCACACATGACTACTAAAACTTTCAAACTCATCATCATTACATAAACTCCAAACTTAAACTTATACTCACAAACTATACAGGTACATAACAAAAACTCAAACTGAAATCATAAAAAGGATCCTTTTTTCCTGAGGTCTCCTACGACGATACGTGTACGGTCGTCGTGCAGCCATCACTTCTCTCCTGAAAAATATTTCCAAAAGTAGGATGAGCCAACACTCAACAAGTAGTTCATGTCTTTAAATAAAAATTTACATAAAACTAAATTAAAGCAATGTTTCGTATGAAAACATGAAAGGATCGTCAAACTTGTATAATCTCATATCAGTACATAAAAAGAAATATTTTTCTTAACCTCTTTTCTTAATGTAATACTTTTCATTTATCTTTTTTCTTAAACATAAATTTTTCATAATTTGAAGAGAACGTATAGAAACCATATTATATATAATATTTTAATAACACCCGTCTCGGATGTGCCCATAATTTGGTATTGATCAGATACCCAGTCAAAATTTTGGCCATTTTCTTTACCATTGGCTCTACGAGCCTCCTTTACCATTGGCTCTACAAGCCTCCTTTACCATTGGCTCTACGAACCTCCTTATTATTGGGCACTCTGCATCAGCATGCACATTCTTCTAATATACTATCTTTCATTCATATGTATGGAAAAACAATTATGAAAATCATGTGCAAAGCATAAAACATTTATTCTAAACATAAGAATGAAGCTTCTTAAATTCATGAAATAACAGTCTTGAATATATATATATTGCCAAAACTAAAAATTCATAATTCGTTCAATCATTTGCATTGAATATTAGAACAAAACGAAACCATAAAATTTTTATAAAAAAACATGAATACCTATATCAAACCAAGTACGTCACGTCGCTTCAACAAAGTTCTTTCACCTTAACGTTCACAACCTAAAATGATTACAAAAGAGACATGTCATTCAACCATTTATTTTTTTCTTAACACTTAATAATTATTTAATTAAATAAACTTTAATTTTCAGATTTAATTAAATCTAAATTTTTGAAAAATTATAAATATTAAATTTCATCAAAACATTGCTCTAAAATTAATTCTCAACATTTATTTATAATTATAATTTAAATTTTCTGATTAAAATAATTAAAATAATTCATGAAAATTAAATATTTTCTAAAACCCTAATTTTTCCTCATTTAAGCATTTCTAATTTCCTTAGAAATAACATTTGTAAAGGGAATTCCTTAAAATTCAAAATCTAAAAAAATCCTAATTTTTAAATCTCCAAAAACTCTTCCAAAAATATCATTTCTACCGTTAAAATGTTTTTCTAAACATTACCTAACAATTCCTTAAAGAGATTTTAGAAGAAAAATGTTTTTAGGAAAAACCATAGAAAATTCGATTTCAAATATCTTGAGATTTAGAAAGTTTTGTTTAAAAATAATCATATCGGAACACTCCTTTCGTCGTTCTCTTCGATTTGGACTAAATCTTTCGCCGGAAGATCGCCGCCGGAGAGGAGTCCGTCATCCACCCATCGCCTATGCTGTCGCTCCTTTCGTTTCTCTCGGCCAAACCGTGCAAATGGGGAGGAAGAGGGTTCAGTTTGCTCTATTAGAGAGAATAGGGAAAATGCTAAAAGACCTCTATACCCTCACTTAAGTAAATTTGTCATTTTAAATGGTTAGGATAAAATGGGTATTACGAAACTTCGTTAAATTTTAATTTCTAAAATAGGCTAAATTATGTATAAGTGTTATATGCCAAAAATAATTAGAATTTTGCAAAGAATTTTCTAAAATTATTTTCGTTAAATTCCGTTAACATTGAAAATCCCACTTAAGTCTCGTCGCGGCGCTTTGAAAATCATGCGACGACCTATTAATGTAGTTTTCGAGTTTTACAATTTCTCAATGATCTTTTCAATCTACATTAGTCAGTTCTCAGTTTCTATAGGTCCGCCACTTGAGAACAGTGGAGGCTTTATATCCTGAAATAGTTTTAGGTTCTTATCCATAGGTCTGCTTCCACTTCCACAGTCACTATCCTGATTTTGGAAAGTCTTAATCATCTGAGTCATCGCTTTCATCATCTGAGCGAATGACTCCATAGTGTTGTTCATCTGAGATTTTGTTACCTCTGGTAGCTCCCTCCCTTCCTTCATATTAATGTCATCAGTGGCATTTTGCTCAGGATCTATATTCCTGAGATAAAACACATCAATCATAAGACAAAGTAATTATAAATTATACTTTCTATATATTTTAAGACTCAATCAATCATCATATAGGCTCTTTCATTGATCATTACTAAACCTTTAGAGGAAGACCAAGTAGTCAAGTCTCCTGGAAAGAATTTGTGAATGTATTCAGAGGCTGGTATGTATCTATGACAGCCAGGAGACAGATGCAGGATAAGTTCAACAGATTTATTTTAGGAGATCGATCTCTTTCTCAGTATGAGGCAGAGTTTACGATATTATCTAGGTATGTCCCTCACCTAATTCCCAATGCTGAGGAGAAGTGTCATCGTTTTCTGAATGGGTTGAAGGATGTGATAAGGCAGCCTCTTGTACCTTTTGGAATTGAGGATTATCCCACTTTGGTGAAAAGAGCCAGAAGGATCGAGATGGACATGCAAGCAACTCAGAAGAGGAGAGATTTTCAAAAAAGGAAGATGAAGGGCAGATCAAAGCCTTCCCAAATGACTCAGTCTTCTCAGTCAGGGGTTTCTACTTGGAAGAAATCCAGATCCAGTGGCTCTGACAACAGTGCTTCAACTGCTACTTTGTGTAGTAAGTGTGAGGGAATGCATAAGGGAGAGTACCTTTCAGGCACCAATACTTGTTACTGGTGCCATCAGCCTTGGCAGATGGTGAAGTTTTGTCCTTTTTTGGGTTAGCGATCTGCTACAGAGGTGAGGTCAGATAACAATACTTAGAAGACTGCTGGTAGACCCAGAGCTGTGAAGTCAACTTCTTCTGTGCCTTCTCAAGGTCAGACTCATCAGAATGTTCAGCCACGAGTCTATGGACTGCCCCAGCAAGAAGCTAAGGGATCTCTTGATGTGGTTACATGTGCGTACTTTAATTTATTGCAATAAAATTTTTTTGATGAATACTAAATGAATAATGAATGAAAATGAAATGAACAAATAATGAATGATATGTTTTATGAATGAATTATACAACTTTTTATGTTTAGAGACAATCCTTATGTGTGTTAGACCCGTTAGAATTCTGTTTGATACTGGAGCATCACTCTCCTTTGTTTTAGAAGAGTTTGTTCGAGCTGCAAATTTACTTCCTACTGTTATGATTAAGTCTCTGTCAGTCCTAATGCCTAATAGAAATCTTATGGAAGCTAAGCAGAGATGTCAAATGAGTTTGAGGATTTGTGATAAGGACTTAGAGGCGGATCTGATTGTCTTGCCTCTATTTGAGTTTGATGCAATCTTAGGCATGGATTGATTATCTTGTCATTTCGTGATTATAGATTGTAACAAAAAGGAGGTTATGTTTTGTATGCCAGGAGAGGAGAAGTTCAAATTTCAAGGGGATAAATGAGTAACTGCAGTGATTGTATCATCCTCGAAGCCTTTTCAGATGTTAAAGAAAGGTTGTGAAGGCTTCTTGGCCTATGTTAAGGAGAAGAAAAAAGAAGAAAGAGAGCTGAAGGATATCCCAATTGTTCAGGAATTTCTAGAATTGTTTTCAGATGATTTACCTAGCTTACCTCCAAGTAGAGAAATAGATTTCTCTGTTGAGTTCGTGGCAAGAGCTGAACCTGTTGCTAAGGCTCTTTGCAGAATGAAAATTAAAGAGTTTAAGGAGTTGAAGGAGCAATTGCAAGAGCTACTTGAGAAGGGTTTCATCAGGCCTAGTACCTCCCATTGGGGTGCTCCTGTACTGTTTGTGAAGAAGAATGATTGAAGCCTAAGGCTTTGTATAGATTACAGAGAGATGAACAAATTGACAATAAAGAATAAATATCCTCTTCCAAAGATAGATGATTTATTTGATCAGTTGAAAGGTGCTTCAGTGTTTTCCAAGATTAATCTGATCAAACAAATCAATCTTGGAAAACAATCTTGTAAGGCTTCCATCCTTCTTCTTCACAAACAATACAGGAACACCCCAAGGGGAGGTACTAGGCCTGATGAAACCCTTCTCAAGTAGCTCTTGCAGTTTCTCTTTCAACTCCTTAAGCTCTTTAATTGCCATTCTATAAGGATCTTAGCAACAGGTTCAGCTCCTGCTACTAACATAATAGAGAAATCTATTTCTCTACTTGGAGGTAAGATAGGTAAATCATCTTAAAACACTTATGAAAATTTCTGAACAATTGGGATGTCCTTTAGCTCTCTTTCTTCTTTCTTCTCCTCCTTAACATAGGCCAAGAAGCCTTCACAATCTTTCTTTAACATTAAAAGCCTTCAAGGATGATACTCTCACTGTAGTTATTCATTTATTCCCTTGAAATTTGAACTTCCCCTTTCCTGGCATACAAAACTTAACATCCTTTTTGTTACAATCTATAGTCACGAAATGACAAGATAACCAATCCATGCCTAAGATTGCATCAAACTCAGATAGAGGTAAGACAATCAGTCTGAGGATTTGTGATAGGACTGACAGAGACTTAATCATAACAGTAGGAAGTAAACTTACAGCTCTAACAAACTCTTCTGAAACAAAGGAGTGTGACGCTCCAGTATCAAACATAATTCTAACGGGTCTATCACACATAAGGATTATCCATAAACATGAAAAGTTACATAATTCATTTACAAAACATATCATTCATTAATTGTTCATTTTATTTTCATTCATTATTCATTTCGTATTCATTAAAAAACAAAATTCATTATAATAAATTAAATTACGCACCTGTAACCACATCAGGAGATTCCTTAGCTTCTTGCTGGGACAGTTTATAGACTCGTGGCTGAACATTCTGACGAGTCTGACCTTGAGAAGGCACAAAAGCAGTAGACTCCACAACTCTGGGTCTACCAGCACTCTTATGAGTATTGTTGCTTGACCTCACCTCTGTAGAAGATCGCTGACACAAAAGAGGACAATATTTCGCCATGTGTTCAGATGGCACCAGTAACAAATATTAGTGCCTGAAAGGCACTATCCCTTATGCATTCTCCCACACTTACTGCACAAAGTAACAGTTGAAGCACTGATGTCAGAGCCACTGGATCTGGGTTTCTTCTTAGTAGAAACCCATGACTGAGAAGACTGAGTCATTTGAGAAGGCTTTGATCTGCCCTCCATCTTCCTTTTTTGAAAATCTCACCTTTTTTAAGTTGCTTGCATGTACATCTCGATTATTCTGACTCTTTCCACCAAAGTGGGATAATCCTCAATTCCAAAAGGTACAAGAGGCTGACTTATCATATCCTTCAACCCATTCAGAAAGCGGTGACACTTCTCCTCAGCATTGGGAATCAAGTGAGGGACATACTTAGATAACATCGTAAACACCGTCTCATACTGAGAAACAGATCGATCTCCTTGAATCAATCTGTTGAACTTATCTTGCATCTGTCTCCTGACTGTCGTAGGTACATACCAACCTCTGAATACATTCACAAATTCTTTCTAGGAGATTTGACTGCTTGGTCTTCCTCCAAAGGTTTAGTAATGATCAATGAAAGAGCCTATAGGATGATTGATTGACTCTTAGAATGTGTTGAAAGTATAATTTATGAATTATTTTGCCTTATGATTGATGTGTTTTATCTCAGAAATATGGATCATGAGCAGAATGCCATTGATGGCATTAATATGAAGGAAGAGAGGGTGCTACCAGAGGTAGCAGAACCTCAGAGGAACAACACTATGGAGTCATTTGCTCAGATGATGAAAGCGATGACTCACATGGTTAAGACTTCCCAAAATCAGGGCAGTGATAGTGGAAGTGGAAGCGGACGTATGGATAAGAACCTGAAACTATTTCAGGATATGAAGTCTCCACTGTTCTTAAGTGGCGGACCTATAGAAGCTGAGGACTGGCTGATGCGGATTGAGAAGATCCTTGAGAAATTTTAAAATCTGAAAACTACATTAATAGGTCATCGCACGCTTTTCAAAGCGCCACGATGAAACTTAAGTGAGATTTTCAATGTTAACGAAATTTAACAAAAATAATTTTAGAAAATTCCTTGCAAAATTCTGATCGTTTTGGTATATAACACTTATACCTAATTTAGCCTATTTTAGGAATTAAAATTTAACGAAGTTTCGTAATACCCATTTTACCCCTAACAATTTAAAATGACAAACTTACTTAAGTGAGGGTATAGAGGTCTTTTAGCATTTTCCATATTCTCCCTAATAGAGCAAACCGAACCCTCTCCCTCTCCATTCGCACGGTTTGCCAAGAGAAACGAAAGGAGCGGTGGCATAGGCGATGGGTGGGCGACGGGCTCCTCTCCGGTGGCAATCTTCCGGTGAAAAATTTAGTCCAAATCGAAGAGGACGACAAAAGGAGTATTCCGATATGATTATTTTTAAACGAAACTTTCTAAATTTCAAGATATTTGAGATCGAATTTTCTAGGATTTTTCCTAAAAATGTTTTTCTTCCAAAATCTCTTTAAGGAATTGTTAGGTATTGTTTAGAAAGTATTTTAACGGTAGAAATGATATTTTTGAAAGAGTTTTTAGAGATTTAAAAATTAAGGTTTTTCTTAGATTTTGAATTTTAAGGAATCCCCTTTACAAATGTTATTCCTAAGGATATTAGAAATGTTTAAATCAGGAAAACTTAAGATTTTAGAAAATTTTTAATTTTCATGAATTATTTTAATCCGAAAATTTAAATTATAATTATAAATATATATTGAGCATTAATTTTATAGCAATATTTTGATGAAATTTAAGATTTTCCAAAAATTTAGATTTAATTAAATCCAAAAATTAAAGTTTATTTAATTAAATAATTATTAAGTATCGTAAGGAATTGTTAAGAAAAAAATGAAGAGTTGAATGACATGTTTCTTTTGTAATCATTTTAGGTTGTGAACGTTTAGGTGAAAGAACTTTTTCGAAGCGACGTGCCGTACTTGGTTTGATGTAGGTATTCATGTTTTTTTATAAAAAATTTATGGTTTTGTTTTGTTCTAATATTCAATGTAAATGATTGAGCGAATTATGAATTTTTAGTTTTAACAATATGTATATTCAAAACTGTTATTTCATGAATTTAAGAAGCTTCATTCTTATGTTTAGAATAAATGTTTTATGCTTTGCACATGATTTTCATAATTATTTTTTCAAACATAAGAATGAAAGATAGTATATTAGAAGAATGTGCATGTTGATGCGGAGTGCCCAATGGTAAAGGAGGCTCGTATAGCCAATGGTAAAAGAGGCTTGTAGAGCCAATGGTAAAGGAGGCTCGTAGAGCCAATGATAAAGGAATTTGACGATCCTTTCATGTTTTCATACGAAACATTGCTTTATTTTAGTTTTATGTAAATTTTTATTTAAAAACATGAACTACCTGCTGAGCGTTGACTCATCCTACTTTTGGAAATATTTTTCAGGAGAGAAGTGATGGCTGCACGACGATCGTACACGTATCGTCGTAGGGGACCTTAGGAAGAAAAGTTCCTTTTTATGATTTCAATTTGAGTCTTTGTTATGTACCTGTGTAGTTTGTGAGTATAAGTTTGAGTTTAGAGTTTATGTAATTGTGAAAGTTTATGTAATGATGATGAGTTTGAAAATTTTAGTAGTCATGTGTGATGATCAGTATGAATCTCTCTTTTATTTGATGTTGTTTAGTAGTTCTTTCATTTATGGACGATGTTTGTGATTTGACATTAAAGTTTTAATTGGAACTGTTAATGTTTTATACGTGTTTTTCGTACAACTACTGTTCCCGCCTCGATTTTATCGGGCTAGCCGGGCTGGGTCATGACATATTATTCTATAATTTTCTCTCGACATTGATATATATCTATGACCTCTTAATGCCTATGCTAAAGTGGTCTCCATATTTTGATACTTTTGAGCACCCTATTACCCTTTTTTGGGTTTTCTTCCTTTATATCTGGACCTATGACATCATTAAATTCATTCTATAATATTTGGGTGCATTTTTTGATAAACTAAATTAACTAGATGCTACTATTGCTAGACTCTTTTTGCATGTGGCTCATGTTCTTATTGAGATGGATATCTTAACCCCTTTGACTTGGGAGATATAGATTGGCATTTTCAGAAGTAGATATTTTCAGAAAGTGAAATTTGAAGGCTTGCTCTCATATTGCAAGTATTATAAATTTTTTGGATATGACTGTTGTTTTCTTCAAAGGGGTGTCTGGAATTAATAAAATCATCCCTAAGGATCCATGCCTCTTATGATCACAATTTCGATGCACATGATTTTTGTGTGGTAAATGCTTATGCTAAAAAATTGAGCCTACAAATTTATTGGGAGATGATCCCTTTGGTTTGGTACCTATGGGGGGCTTACATGTTCCACATATTTCCTTAGATTCATTAGTGCATTCACTTGCTATTGATGTTTGTTAGATGATAGCATCCCCTCTGCTCATTTATCTCTAGTATCATCAATTTTGGATTTTGAGACTTTTGATACCTGAAGAGCAATACTTTTTTTAGATATGTGTTAGAGGTTCTCTTTATCACAAATCACTATTTCTTCTCCAAGTGATATTACGATTGTGCTCACCAATGCTACAATTAATTACTTTTAAGGTGGAGGTTGTTAATGATTCCAACTTAGTTTAGTCTCAAGGTTCCATTATAAATTTAGCTTGTTTAGTAGATAAAATACTATAGTTTGTGTTTTCTAGTTGAGACACTAATTGAAAAAAGAAAAATCGTTCTTCATCCTCTCATGTGTAGTAGATTTGAAGATAAATGTAAGAACTTCCCTAATAATTTAGACAAATTGGATTTAGTTTGTTTGAAAATGTTGACTAGCTTCTCTCTTAGTTGATAAACATTGCTCTTTATATTTATGTTATCTGGATCCAATGTATTTTATTTTATTTTATTATCATAGCGGCCTTATATAATATGTTTATCTATATTTTTCACCCTCGTTATAAAATCATATTGCTATAAAAAATCCCACTTTAAAAGATAATAAATCCAAAAATCCTAATAAATTGTAATAAATTTTAGGATATTATAAATTAATCTAAATCTTATTTATTGTGCATATCAATTCCCTTGGCCTTTGAAATCTCTTTTTAAGTTCCCAAAAGCCCTCTTCTTGGAAGTATGTTGGTCATGGTAGATGTGGTGGAAGTACTTCTTTATGGTCATCTTTTAAATCTTCAACATGTGTAGATTGAATATATAAAGTAGAATTTGGATGCTTTCTATTCAAATATCTTAATTGATTTGCGCGTCGTCGCCTCAAGATCCATGCCACCGCCTCAGGTGATCCCAATTGATCGAATAAAATTAGTTTTTGAATTTTGATGACATTTCGGATGCAACGAAGAAGTCCGTTCTGTGATCGGACGTTATTTGGACGACGTCAAACATTAATTTTGGGTGTTGGTTGTCTAACTTGATTGCAAGGGGTATCGACTTAAGCGAATTCGACGTCCTGATTGCAACGGCACAATCCGTAAGAAAGGATTTCATCTATTCTGAAAACATATTCAATAAATGTAATTACATAGAAGAAATATTTGAAAATTCTTCACACAGGTGGATGTTGACATTCAAAAGCATGTGTTCTAATTGGTTTTTCAAAAATAAATTAGTAATTTAAATATATCATGAATTCATTAAATATCCTTTAGTCCACCACGTTTTAGAAATTGATCAAATCAACTTCAAATAAGATTCCAATGGTCTAAGTTTTTTCAAATTCATTTTAATGATATATTGAATCTTGAGCGAATGCATTAAAATTAAGTCGTTCCTGTATTCATCTATATACCTTTTACATCTGTTCTAAGAAATGGAAAATAAAATGTAACCTAGGTATTTATGAGGACCTTTTAGCTTTTCAATTGAGTTGGATTTTTTGAATTTCCTTGGCTATTTCTAGGGTTTTCATCTTTGATCAAGTCTTTTTATTTTCTGATGGTTGCTTCTTCTTATAGCAAATTATTTAGGATTAGCTATTTTTGTTATCATCAAAATAAAGTTAAACCTTTAGTAGGCCCTTGGGGATAAAATTTAATCTTGATGAGGACTCGAGATTATAATCTTGGCTTTGAAAGCATTACTACAATTTTCTAAAATTAATTTTTGGTCTAACAATGTTGATATTTGTTTGTATAACATAATTACATCAATGTTATTTTCATAAGTCCTATTAACATACTCACATCCATCTTATTTGCACATGTCCTATGCTCATATATTATATTTTCTTTGTTTTGTGAATTTAATAATGAGATTCATTTCTGATGTTTAACCGTAGATTATACTGGTTTCTACCTATGTTCTTTCATCAGTGCTTAACTTTTGCAATTGCCACCACAATACTATATAAGCAAGCTGGTCTCTTTGACCGATTTTGCAACCATCAAGCTAATAGAGAATTAGTGTTTTCTCTGATAGCTTTATTTTTTTGCTTAAGTTTTTTCTCAAGCTTTGCTTAGATTCTCAGACAATGCAAATAAAGTCGAAATGCATGGTAACTTTGACCTAGAGTAGATAGTGGATGGCAATTAGTTGAAGATGACTAGAACAGTTGGAATGAGATGGGCCAGAATTTTTGCTGGTTTAGTGATAATTATATCTATTGCTAAGAACTTATTTTAATTATCTATAGTTAAAACTTAGGGATCAAGATTTGTAACTTATGGGCGTGTTTGCTTGTCTTTTAATGAAAGCCAAGCAAGGATAAGCTAAGTGAATATGACATGTTTGAAGCTTAAACTGGAACATGAGTTAAGCCGTTTGATTGGTTAAAAGGATAAGATCATATGAACTAGTGAAGCTGGTTGATATTTTTTAGAACTTTCATAGACATGGAAAAAGAAGCTTCATGATAAACCCTAAGTGGCAGAGAGATTGTAGAGGAGGCCCATAGCCATTAGGTTATAGGAAGATGGCTGCAGGTCCAAAGTGATTGCAAACACACAGAAATTTGCTAACAAGAGATATGAGTGAAGACGTTGTGAATAATTGACCAAAATGTTCGTCTATGATGGCTATAAGGGAGGAGGAACGAGAAGATTGCAAGGGACAAAAGAAGATCATGGGGAGCAAAGGAGATTTAGAGTAAATGAAATGGCAGAAAAGCAAAGAGAGCTTAAGAATGGTAGGTGGTGAGCTTAGCTTATTCTGGCCTAGCCCCCTAAGCGAGGAAAAGCCAAGCTTAGCTTAACCTAGTTTAGAAATGGCTCAAAATTATGTTTGGAAGGAAAGGAAAAAAAAAAAAAACTTTATGCTGATAAATAAGCCTGAATTAAACGACCCCTAAATTAGCCATGGGCTGTAGGGATTATCTTCTACTGACAAGGTATCATGCTGGTGTCCCAGCAAGTTTTGCACCTTAATATTGCAAGTTTATAGTAGTATGTGTCTAGGACACGGAACATGCTCAAAAACGAATTTGGAGGAATTAGCCATGATAAATTTTTATTTCTTTAATAAGCAGTTCTTATTTTAAAAAAAGGAAAAGTCATGAGCATCAATATCCTGCAACTTTTTTTTTCCTTCTGTTACCTTGTTTATTCTTCAGCCTTTTTGGGTGGATTTATAGTCTTTCTTTGACAACATAGATTATTTTCTATTTGGCTTTAGTAACCTCGATCCACATTGACTTTCTCTGAGAAATGTGTTTCACCTCTTGGGAAAAAAATCTACATGGTTGAGCAAAACCGGATTAATGTGAAATTGTGTATAATTAATTATGTTTCTGTTGCATAAATCAAAGGCTTCCTTACATCAAACCCAAATCCACATCAATTTTTACCAGTATGGTTGCTTTTAATGAAATTTTTTGCCTGTTTCATTTCCAGCATAGCTTCTTTAATATTTAACTAATTATATGCTTTTATACTCATAGGTTGTTACACTTTTTCATGGATAGATTCCACGAGATTGTTTTGAATCATCATGTAGCTTTTTGATAACTTAAAATAAACATGCTGATACTTTATACATTTTTTATTCATAGTAGTTCTTCTATCAACAGATGCTTCTTGTCTTCACTGTTATTATTCAACTCGTTTGTCAAATTTTTTTTGCAGTCATGCAATCCTGAGGTACATTGCTGAGACATCCCCAGGAGTTGCTGACCACTGGTAATTCAAGCTAGTCGTGTCTCTATTTTTTATTTGTTATGTTTTTCCCATGATGAGTTATTAGTTGAAGAACGTATTCTTCTCAGGAACATTAACCAGCTTGCATGTCATAACTAATGTGATGGTTAAGTAAATATTGAATTTCCTTGTACTTGAAATTTATGATGATATTCCCTAGGCGATTGGGTGGCTTAGGAATTCTAGGAACATTGGCAAAACTTCTTTGAGCTTTCAAAATGATTTGGGGTAAATACTACTGTCTTCTTGGAGGTCGTACGTGTATGAATTTTGTAGAATTCTCCAGCAGGAATTTATTTTCTTATTGCTAAAAAGAAATATGTTAAAAATCATCAGTACCTTTGAGATATCTCACTTGTTATTTCATATGAAATCATGTTTAGAGCACTGAATTTTTCTCATAGCTCCGACCGATCAAGCTTTTCAAATATTTGCAATTCATAATCATCATGTCAATATTATTTTCTTTATCTTAACTATTTGAGGTTAATTTTATAAATCTTACTTCCATTTGCTCCTATAAAAAAATTAAACTACACAGATTGGAATGTTTTTACTTTGTGATCGAATACTGTATTGAGAATACACAACAACTTGAATGATGGATATTGTATTCTACAAGGGATTCAAAAATAAAAGTAAGGTTTTCAAAATTATAGTTTTCATAATCAAATATAGCAAGGAGAATAACATATTATCTCGAAAGAATGACTTGGTATTCTACAATAATATTTGAAAATGAATACGGAGTTTTAAAAATTTTTCATTTCTATAATTAAATATATCAAAGAGGATAACATATCATTTTGAAAGATGAATATAATATTCTAGCTTATCTACATTTTTAAAGATCTTTTCCCTAAATAAACATAATTTATTTTAATATGGAGTTACAAGTTTTCCATAAATGCAAGCTCTTATTATTAATTACATCTTAAGAAATAAGAATATTCTCGATTATAATAATTGCTAAACTTCAATTGATTTCAAAGTTTAAAATAAGGATTAGAAGTTTGGAATTTTCAAAGTATATTGGTTCAAAATTGAGCAGATCTTTTAGATTCAAATAAAATGACTAGGGAGCACTGGATTCTGAGAAACTCAAAAGTGCTCCAGTTTTTCTTATGATTGGGTTTTGAAATTGAAATTTATTTTTGTTGAAGTTGACATTTTATTAGGTAGTTGGGTTTGTATTTCTAGAGGGTGAGAACCTATAATTTATAATCTGCCACATAATCTAAAAATAAGATGAATCCTTGCATGGTAGAGATTATGAAATGCAAAAATAGTGAGGTGGATTTATCTCCTTGAACCTTTTTAGAGATTTAAGAGAACACCCGACAATACTAAACTTACGTCTGTCTTGAGTAGAATGCTGCCTAAACTCTACCTAGTTTTTGAAAAATCATTATTTCAGTTTTTATGAAATGTAGGATGGGTAAGCTATTATTATTATTTATGTTTTTATGAATTTGGAATTGTCATCTTGAGAAAATTTTAATTAGTCCCATACTTATGAATAGTGCTTATGCAATTAAGGCTAAATATAATTAAAATATTATTTTTAATTTATTTATGGTACAATACATGCTAATTGTGCTAACACAAATTAGAATTATTTGTATTTTTAAAAAGGTTTGGAAAATATATTTTTCCTTAAAAAAGTAAGCCTCCTTAGAGATAAAACAGAAACCCTAATAGTCTGGAATATAATCAAAATCTGTAATGGTTTCTAACCAAACATCGGTTTACATTCTAAATTATGTATTTTTCTATGTTATTTAGTCCTAAACTTTTATTAGTTTTAATTATAAAATTGAAATTGAATGTACTTCTATTAAATTTTAGAATTGGGGGTTTTGATTTCTCTCTTCACCTCAAATGACCTTAACAACTTGTAAACATTTTACTAAAGATTATTAGCTTTTTTGCATGTCATTTTTCCAGGAGAAAGGGGTTTTTGAGAACTTTAATGAATTTTGAAGATTTGGAATTTAAAAATTTGTTTTCCTTTTTTCATCATAAATGATCGTAACAACTTGTAATTATCAATAGCCTTTCAATTGCAATTATTAGAAGCTGAAGTTACTAGTTTTGCAGAATATTGTATAAGGCTCACTATGATAAATGAGGAACAATCAAACTGATGAGAATTTCATCTGTCCTTTTTCTGATAAAGAAGTAAAGAAAGAAGATGATCACCTTTTGTTTACTGTTACCATTTCTTTGATAAGCACCAGGATGATTTCCTTGACAACGTTTCCATAGAAAACTAACAAATTTTTCTTGCTAAATTTTGTCCGATCATTTTATTTCATTAGACACTGAATGCTGCTTTCTCATAATAAATGCCATGAGAAAAGGTTTTCTTCTAAGCCAATGATAAGTTTTTTTAAACTTATTTTTATGGCTCTCTGCGTTAGTGTAACGCTTTTTTGTGAAGGTATCCAGCTGATCCTTCCAGTAGAGCCAAAGTTAACTCTATTTTGGACTGGCATCATTCAAACCTTCGTCTGGGTTCAGGTATACATGATGCAACCCTTTATCTTACCCATTGGCCATTGTATCAGGTTGTTAACTGTTTTGAATATATAAGTACATATAAATAACTTCACAGATAATGGCATACAATATATTAAGTCTATTTAAATATTGTATAAAGGTCAAAACTAGGATGAGGATTCATGTCATGATTATTCGATAAGTTTTATATTGTATGTTGACTACCTAATGCAACCCTCCACATTTCTCATACAGGATCTGAGTCTTAGCAACAACAATGCTCAAAGGGAAAATTCTATAAGATGGTGGTGAGATCTGCAATACTTTATAGTGCAGAATATTAAGTTCGGTGTTGCAGAGAACCATAATATTAAGTTCGGTGTTACAGAGATGAGGATACTTAGGTGGACGAGTGGCTTTTCTCTTAGAGATAGGTTTCAAAACGAGCATATATGTGAAAAGTTTGTAGTAGCTCTAGTGAAAGATACTATTAGAGAGAGTTTACTTAGATGGTTTGATCTCATAAAACAGCAGCCTTCCAATTATCCGGTTAGTAGAGTGTAGATGTAGTAGGTTTGATTTATGTTAAGAAAAGTAGAGATAAACCTTAAAAATATTTGTAGATCAATGTTGTTGTTGTCAAAACTAGAATGAAATTGTTACAGCAGGAGGGGATTGAGCATAATCAGGAAGGGAGTCAATGGAAGGGTTCCACTAGCCTTGTGGGGCCCATGAGGGCTATCATGCATTATGGAAGGTAGAGAAATCAAGGGGAGCTGTTTAGGAAGGTTACTTAATTATGTTTATTGTGTTAGAAAGGTTTTAATTATTTAGGAAGGTTTCTTAAATTATATTTATGTTTTTTAGGAAGGTTCTATTTGTGTTATGGTGTGCTACGGCTATTTAAGAGAGTTTTGTCTAGGGTTAGGGGATGAGATAATTAGTGTTTTTTGTAGTTTTATTTTGGTGAGTTTTTGGCGTCTAGGGTTCGTAGGATAGCTGATCTGCCTCTCAAATAGGTTGATCAATTGTATCTTTCTTTCTTGTTGAAGAGAGCTAATCTTTGGATTCCTGCATTTTACTTATTGCATACTTGCTATTTTTACTTCCAAGATGCATAAATTTGGTATTTATAGCAATATTTTGGGAGAAATGACAGTAAAGAAGATGAATGCATTCAAAGGCGAAGTGGAGCAATTCAAATTCGGGATAGAAGAGAAGTTCTCAGCTATTGAAGAAAGAATTTCAACCATGAAAGGAAGGTTTTAAACCATGGAAAATTGATTTGTAGGGTTGGAAGAGTGATGAGGAAGCTCTTGGAGATGCAATAAAAAACTCAACCGACAATTCCGATGACTAACCCTAACCAAGATTTGGTTGGGATTCTCTTGACCAAATCGAAGGGAAAGGAGATCAAAGCGGAGGAGTTCGACTAGGAGAGTTTCTTTCATCAAGAGCCATCTCCCATTTTTTTACATCAAGAGCCATGTTCTAGAGCTTCGATAAGGGGTAGATCGGGGTTTTCGGATGAGGGGACAACAAGGAAGTAATTTTTTGTTGGAGGTGGTAGGGTAGCCGACCACTATGAGAAGCATTTCAGACAAGGGAAGTGGGCCCTTCGGAGGAGGGGGTCAAGAATCACCTCCTAGGGCTTTAATAAGGAGCGGAATAGAGTTTTAGGATGGGGGTACAACAGGAAGGTAGTTTGTGGTGGACGTGGTGGGGTGCCGATGTCGACCCTTATACGATGAACCACACGCAAAAAAGGACGAAAATGGCAAATTAAATAGTGTGTGGGTTGGCGCGACGCATCACTTAAAGGGTCAAACGACCTCCAATTGCAAAACATACGGCGTTGTTGCGATCAGGACATCAAATTATAGGTCGAGCCACCTCGTAGTTGAATCGGATGAGATCGGTCAAATGGGACGACCGACACCCGAAATTAAAGCGCGAGGCTGATCAAATAATATCAGATTGACGAACAGACTTCGTCGTTGTGTTTGGAACGTTTTCAACCTTTAAAAATTATATTTTTTATTCAATTTTAAGTATATTCCGATTGGTTGCACGGATCCCGAGGCAACAACACGAATTTCGAGAAAAATCGATCTCGTCGCTACTTAAATGATGTCCGTTTGCAAAATGGATTTCTCCATTAAGATCGGAATATCGTGAATACTCAAGAACAACACTTTCGATGCTCAATTTGAATCATCCAGATTGGTGGCACAAATTTCGAGGCAAAGTGCGAATTTCGATTAAAAGGTCGCTTGGCACTACCCAAATGACGTATGATCGCGAAACAGACTACATAGTTGCAACCAGAACATCGGTAATACCCTTAATGCACTCTCAATTTGTCCAATTATGATTATTGTCAAAATTGACGTGCAAAACGAGGCACTCGACATGCAAAATGGGGCAATCGGCACGCAAATCAAGAAAGTATCAATCTAGACTATTTTTTACTTATTTGCACAGTTCTATCATTTTGAATTAATATAATAATGATATAATATTATTAATGTCATTATTTATTTAAAAAAAATTAAAAAATTAAAAGTCTAGACTATTTTTGACTTATTAGCACAATTCTATCATTTTGAATTAATATAATAATAATATAATATTATTAATATCATTATTTATTTAAAGAAAAATTAAAAAATTTAAAGTCAAAATAAAAATCCCATCGCCATTAATTAAACTGCCTCGTATCAACCGAATCTCTGCTAAATCCCTGATTTTTCGCTGAACCTCCGTCATGTCGCGTAAAGTCTCACAGCTGGCCTCCAACAAATGCCTTAGGTGTCGTTAAAATGAAGAACAGAAAACTTCTCTAGCTCGTTTTGGTTGTCCCTCAACTTCGAGAAATTATTAGGTGCGGAGTGCCAGAAATTATTACGTAGGGAGTGTGGAGCGGGAGAACCGTCCTCAACTTCAGCTTTCACCTGCTCTTCCCAAGTCCGTAACCTCTCTAACCAAGAGTTCTCTGCTCCCTAAAATCACAGCTCTAATTCCCCAACTCCTATTGCTTTGATCCTTCATGAAGTCCACACTCGAACCTTCTTCCACAAGGCCAAGCAAGTCTGAATCCCATCCAATCCCTCCATTCGAACTCCACGTGAACTCTTGCTGCCATCCGCCTCTTCAATCTTCTGGCCTAAGTAAGCCAGAAAACTGCTCACTGATCACATCCACCAACTCCACTCCGAAGGCATCATCCCTGTATTGAAGCTTTGCTATAAGCTCAAAGATGAATCCACGAAGCGTGGTCGGCCAAGAAAGAAAGCCTTTTTTTAGGCAGGAGCTGGGGAGTTATGGAGATGGGAATGGAAAGCCTGCAAATTTTGTTGCGAAGGGGCCTGGACGGTCATGGAAGATCATAGACTTGCTGGTGCCTGGAAATACACGGGATATATTACAGAAACCTAAAGAGATAGGGAGACTTGGAATTGTTCAAGGGGTTGGACTTCGTTGTGAGTGAAGCTAGAAGTCATCATATAAGATTAGTACTTTCATTTTGTAATAACTGGGAAGTCTATGGTGGGAAAGCTCAGTATGTGAAGTGAGGAAAAGAAGCTGGTCTTAATCTTACTTCTGATGATGAGTTCTTCATTGTTCCAACTATAAAAGGTTACTATAAAGCTCATGTTGAGGAAACCTTTACAAGAGTTGAGTATATGGAACTTTTGGGGATTCTTCAATCACAGATACTTAACATCCCATCTGTTGAAGGTGGTGAGGGTACTCAGAATGAGGTTCCTAAAAGAGTTTCTGACAAAAGTCCATGGCAGACTCTGAACCAGAATAGGAATATATCTACAACCTGCAATGTTCTCAAGAAACAATTTCCCATTCCCATTTCTACCGAAACTGACAAACACGGCATGGATAAGCTCGACAAAGAGGAGATCCGAAACCTCTACAACTGTTACAAGAGGATTAAGTTCTCTGTCTCCCGAAAAGACCCTCGCCTCATGGATAATTTTGAGCAGGCATACCTTTCAATCATCACCACCTCAAGAGGTTGTACAAGCATGCAATGGAATATGTCCGAACTCATTCCACGTGATGCATCAGTTGTCCATCTGCTTTGGAAGCAGCAATCTATCAACATGTATAATTGGAGCTTGGCTATACTAATGAGAGGTGAAGATCTAGATGGTGTTGCATATCAGACTGCCAAGACCTGCATTTTTGGATTGGTTAATATATGTTGTATAGCTTCACATGAAACTCCAACATTATCTATAATCCATGGCATCCGTACTGCTATTTTTAGAAATTTTTTGACCTTCTCCATTTCAAGTTTTGAGGAAAATGAGACATATGGCATTGGAAACATGGAGATTCTAAAGCTTCAAGAATCCATTGATGATTTTTATATTTTGAAGCAAGAAAGGGAAGATGATAGTGAATCTTCATTGAGCAAGTTATTCAAGTGACTAATCCTTTGAAAGCTGATGTGGTAATCCATTCACTCAAAAAGTTTTTGTTCTCATAGCGATGATGTTGGTGAAGGTACTTCCAAGAAAGCAAATAAAGGATCGATCAAGAAGCATAGAAGATATGTTCAAAAAACAAAAAAAGAGAAAGTAAAAAAAAAAAGAGAAAATATTAAAAAAAGAGGGGGATTTTTGTCTTTGCCGTCGTCACCAACCATCGCGTAGGTATAACCTCCTAAACTTCGAAAACTTGTTCTTGGCACTTGCAACACGGCGAACGACCACTTATGCACCATTTTCTCTAGCGTGGTAGGAGGAAATTCGTTGCGATGCTTGCGACGGGGCGGGTAATCACAAAACTCTGTTTTTGGCGTTAGCAGCGTACCAGAAAGTAACATGCACGCTTTTCTCTAGCATGGTGGGAAGGGAACCCGGTGCGACGCTTATGGCTAAGCAGGGTTAAATGTAAAATTGCTTATTTCAAACTGGTGCCCGAAGACGCATACACGCCTTTCTCTAGCGTGGTGGGAGAAGAAAATTACGGCCGTGGTGTCCTATGACAGTAATCGTGCACGCTTTTATTTAACGTGGCGGGAGATCTAGACTCCTGAAATTTTTTCTAAACGTGGGAGACGCCGTGAGGCTGTCGAAATTTCGGATTAATGTAAGACTGCATTGGGACCTGGTTTGAACTCAAGAGAACAAGAACTTAGACTCAAATGAACAGTGGACTTACTGACTTAAACCTGAATAAATTTTAAATGACGAATAAAAGGTCAAACCCAAATAAAATAAGATCAGACTGGATCTAAATTTATGTAATTGAACTTGCAAAGATTTTAGAAGACTCTGAACAAGCACTTGAGCTCGGACTATACAATATTAAGTTGGACTTGTACTCGATGAACTCAAGTTTAAATGAAATTGAACTTGGAATCAAACATATACAAGGAATAAAGCTTGAATCATATACGAGAGAACTCAAACTACAAAAACATTTGTACGACCAATAGTGACTCAATGTCAGATGAAATACATTGATCATTGTAAACAAATATTACTAAGATGCAACAAATACAAATGACCATGAACTCTTGTAGGAAGGATCTTGCAACATCTTCGTAACCAAAATCGAGGTACAAGCAGGCACATTACAAGACCTTAATGCATACAAACAAAGAATGTAGTGGACTCTTATAATAGTCTCTACGACATCAGGTGCATCGTACCTGCAAGAACAACAAATGGTTGCATAATGTATATGTGTCCTATATGCGCTATTGAGATCTCCAACACAACAATAATGCCTGTAGATTAAGATGGCAATATTGACGTTTGATAGTGGAAGACCTGTCTCTACAAATAAGAACGATCATCATACCATCTGAGATTGGTGAAAGGTGGATATGAAGCAAACATAATGATCCTCCTACAATCAAGTACGTCCAGGAGATTGTAGTGAACACTCTATGCAAGCAGTAATACTTGATATAGCCGCTTGTGGATAACAATAGTGGGTATATCGTGAGTGCAATGAACCCCTGTGGACACAAGTACATACAACACTTACAACAGCGGTGATTGAGATGCTGCGAGTACGTTGAGTATGAAGACAACTCAATGTACGGAAAAGGACACCTGACAGAATGGAAGAGATGTTTGAACAAATTCGAATTAAGCTTCACGGTGTTCCAAAGTTTTTTCTTGGTCTTTTACTTAGGAAGAAAATATTTCTAGTATCCACAAACATCAGAAATAATAAGTCTACTACACTAAAGAGCTTGAAAGGAGTTCTTTTCATGGCAGTGGCCACAAAATTCAAGAAGAACCTCCCCAGTGAATGAGAAAAGGGAGTTTACATCAGAATATTGAGCTACGTAGTTGCAACCAGGTGATAAAGCTATGTTTTACCTGTATCCCAAAAGCAAGAGATTCGTTAGTGCACTATGATTCAGTTGCAGAAAGCAATAAATAGTGCACGACGGTCTACCTGTACAAAACAGTAAATAACTCGATCCAAAAGTTGCTACAACATGCCACTAGATCTGCAACATTCATGCAAGCGGACAGATGACGTTTACAAATATTTTAAAACACCACTGCAAATGCACCGTAGTTTGTATACACATAGGTACACAAAGGGGTAATTATAATAAACCCGCATGGGTATCGACGAGCATGTTATTGATGACCTCTAAAGATGTTACACGGGTGAACACATTTAAACTCAATCCTCCTAAGCTGATAAAAAGGAGTCGACAGAGTTTAATTATAAAATGCCCCTAAACACCTGCCTAGGCCTCAACGAGCATGTTATTGGTACACACGTGATGTCTAGGAAAGCTGCGCGGGTCGCTAAAGCTGAACCTGATCCTTCTAAGCAGGTAAATTAGAGTAGATAGGGTTCGAACCATCAAATAAATATACAGTTGTGGCGATCGATATATTTATTTTAATACATTCATATTAGGCCTTCAAGGCTCATAATCAAGATAATTTACTAATAAAGGCATAAAATCTATGCAACCCGATCCTCTGTCGATAATTTGACAGAGTCGACAAGGTTCATCTACATAATGCAAATATTTTTGAATAGAAATGACCCCAAATACCCTGATTATGACCACGTTGAATGAAAATCACAATCGGAAGGGTTAACTCAAACCATTTGTAATGCCACCTAACTTTCACAAAATTCAAATTCCCACGAAAATATAAGTGATCTTAAAGTCACCCCGATGATGGCCATGTTGAATGTTTATCTCAATCGGAGGGGTTTACAAATATTTTCAAATGACTTCCAAGTTCCATTAAAGTACTTAAAAAAATTAAAAAATTCCAAAAATTCCAAATATTTAAAATTGAAATTCAACCATCAAACCATTTAAAGAAAAATCCATTCATCCTCCGTAATAGTTTGCCAGGGTGGACAAATTAAAATTTATCTAAGCTCACATAGAACTAATGCATAGTCGAAAATATCATTAAGAGTTTTTCTTAAACAATCTGTTAGATCGGTCTAGTGGACCGGTCGGAAACACTTGGATTCGCAAGTGTTTCTATCCCAAACCCGTAAAATTACAGCAGCCAACTGCTGTCCACAGCAGCAAAACAGTAGGAATTCGATGAAAACGCAGCAGGAAATAGGGAAAAACAGGAGAAAAACACAAGATATTATTTGTATTTCAATAGAAATCAAAGAAAATAGAGAAGATACAATTGATCCTCAATTCAAGAGGAGGATCGATCTCTCCCAAATCTCTAGACGCTGCTAGAGCCCAAAGAAAACCTAAATCTAAGAGATCTCAATTTCAGCCAAATTCAAGATGCTCAAACCCTAGGAAAATATACTATTTAATGCATACCATTCAAAAAGAATTCCCTAAACAGTCTCTACAATCAATTTCCCTCCTAAACTCCATTAAAAAACCTTCCAAAAAGGGCTCCCGTGGATCATGTGTGCGTGCGGCTTCCGCCCAGGCGAAACTGCGCCTGTTTCACGACTCGGTCGGTCCCGTGCGGACCGGTCCACTGGACCGGTCTAACACAATCCCCTTCCAATAAGAACGTGGTACGTGTCCTCTGACCGGAGGTTTTGCCGCCAAATGACACCGCAGGATAAACGATTATGACCCGAGACCCTTTGAATCGAGTGATTTTGCCAACAAATGGCACCAAGAAATATCAGTTATGGTCAGAGCGGCATCAAATTCTTGAGATATGAATGAATAAGATATAATCGATAGGGCACAAAGCCTTCTGTTAGCTAAGGTGGATTCAAATTCATCTACAAGGTACCCTTGGACGAAGCAACCCATGGCTGTCGATAAGGATCCTTCTGTCAGGTTGGGTCGACTACCTCTGACTAAGTAAACTAGGGACTATGCTGACCAGGGACGACGGAACCATGAGATCTTGATCGGGTTCATCATACGTTCCCCCACCATCCGCTTTTAGTGCAAGATGGTGAAATTTCCATTTTAAATGTCAAACATTTCAAATCTCCAAATCTTCTAATTCTCCAAATTCTCCAATTCTCCAACCATTCCAAATACCCATGCTGTTACTATATGCATGATACTACATATCTATGGATACAAGGTATCTGATTGATGGTTAGCCTTAATTGAAAATTCTCTCTCGTTATCGGGAGGGGTATTTAAATTATAGGGGCTTACGCCTATAGGAAATCAGAACTCAGATCATAAAGTACTCGCAAAATAAGGGCGAAATCTCTTGGTAGTGTCTTATCTACAAACTCATGTCTTCCAAAATTTACCTCGGAACGTAATCCGTTAAAACTCCGCTGAAATATAAAGCAAAAAATTGGGCGGAGGCCAGGGACGAATTTTCGGAGCCCACAGCCGATCACTATGGGAGGTCTTTTGGGCAATGGGAGAGGATGATCGGAGAAGGGGGGATTAGTCGAGCCATGGGGATCAGATCATGTGAGGCGGGTGGAAGAAAGGTGGGATTCTTACCCTTGATACACTGGGGGAAATATGGAGGAATCACGACAACTACTACATTGGAGGAGAAAGAATCTATTGGAGCGATGTCAATGCTTGGGTGAGGAAGTTGAAGATGCTGATATTCAAAGGGCAGGATGCCCATGGGTGGTTATACCGGGTGGATAGATATTTCCCGGTGAATGGATTGAGAGAGGAGTAGAAGCTAACAACCGTAGGGTTATGTTTGGAAGGGAAAGCTCTTGCTTGGTTCCAATGGAGTGAGGCTAGATATCTGATCAATTCATGGGAGGAGTTTATGTATTGCTTGTTGGAACGTTTCTGAGCTATTTAAGAAGGAGATCTACACGAGCAATTCCTTGTCTTGACTCAGGAGGGGACTGACATGGAGTACAGGGAGAGATTTGACTTGCTATTGGGGTGGTATTATGTACCGCTCTGCCAGAAACTTGTAATATTTGGTTTGAGAATCCTTAACCAAAATTGAGGGAGAATTCCTTTAGACCAAGTGATTCACATATTTTAATAGATACAGGCATAGAAGGAATGAAGGATATTCCGAAAGTCTATCAACTTTTTTCTAAGCTTTTGTATTCATCTTATTGTTTAAGCATTTGCTAGACTCATAAAACTTATGATTCTTTAGCCTGCACATTAATGATATCTCTATTTCTAATTGATATACTTTTACTTGCCATTGATGACTACATGGGAAGCAGTTACCTTTGTTATGAACACTGTACTAGCACCAATATTTGGACGAACATTGAATCCTCAAGCTTCAACGGAAGCTGAGAAACTTCTGTCATCTTCTTTTTCAAATATTGAATTCATGTGGCTCAGTGGAGATGCAAATTTCTTATTGGGAAATCCTCATCCATCCATTGCTGATCTTAGCCTTGTCTGTGAAATTATGCAATCTGAGGTACAAATATCGATTCAATCTTAGCTATTTTCTTGAAAAAGTTTTCTAATGATAGTTGTTTGGCATTTTTTTTGTTAATATTCGCTTCTAGTGGTAGTTAATCAATACAAATTTGTGCTATGCTTGGCAGCTAGATTTTTGTTGTCATATGTTTGGGAGCCTCATGTATACTCATGTTTGTGTTTAACTCATTTTTTGAATGAGTGAATTTTTTTTTTAATCTTATGCTCGTTTAGAGAGATGACCTGCAATGCTTCATAGTGCCGAATGTTGGCCATTAAAAGAGAAGCATAATACTAAGTTACGTGTTGCAGAGATGAGGATGCTCAGGTGGATGAGTGGATTTACCTTTAAAGAAATGATACGAAATGAGCATATACATGAAAAGGTTGGAGTAGCGCCAGTGGAAGATAATATTCGAAAGAGTCACCTTAGATGGTTTGGTCACATAAAATGGTGGCCTTCCGATGACCTAGTTAGGAAAGTTGAGGTATTAGATTTGACTTATGTTAAGAAAGGTAGAGGTAGATTTAAAAAGACTTGATTAGAAAATATTAGAAATAATCTTTCTTTATTAAATTTAAACAAAAATTTGACTTTTATAGGGCACAATGTAGAAAAAGGATTCATGTAGCTAACCCCATGTGGTGGGACAAAGGCTTGATGTTGTTGTTGTAGTATGTTATGCTCGTATACTTAAATGAACACATATATGAACAAACAAGTCAAACTTCCAAACTTTCCTGAGAACTCTGCTCCATTTCTTAAAGCCAGCCAATACTAGCATCTTTTTCTTTTCTAGTCTGGTGATCTTACTTTATGCATCCTATATACGTGGCCGTTCTATCTAGTTTTTCCTTTTGTGAAATGCGAACAGACCATCATTTGCCCAGTGTGTAAAATGTTTTGGCACGCTAGCTTTATCATCACTTAGAAAACTTGGCCGTCATTGGATTCACTTCATTTGTGTTTTTTGTTTCCAGTTTTCAAAAACAGGCTTAAGAAAAAAAATTTTGGCAACCATGTTATCATCTCTCGTCTTTGGAAATAAAATAGACCGTTTTTTCAAATTATGAAAACACACGTTTTGAAAGCATTCGTAAGGTTGTTTTGATTAGTTAGACTAATTTAGGGTGATTTGAAAAGAATTTATCTAATTAAAGATTATTTATTATAATAAAGAAATTTAAGTTTTATTGGTGTTTAGTTTTGATAATCAGACAAAATAATTAACTAATACATTAAGATATTTTATCATTAATTATGTACGCTAATATTATGGCTAATAGAGGTTAATTAGGATTTAATTAAGATAATTAGGATTCCACAAATATCATTAAAATATTAAATCATGAAAATTAAGTATGCGATAATTAATTAATTAATTAATAAGAGAAATTGTTAATTAATGAATTATTTAGGTTATTGAATGTTTATTTATAAATTTAATTACTATTATCAGAATTTTAAATATTTATTATGTTAATTATACTTGGGTTGAGTCATGATTGGCCATGTTAATCAATAATTAGCTATTTTCTTTACATCACTATGGATTAATTAAGGTTTTATTTCTCTAATGAAATTCAGGGTTATATATCACCTGTATGTATTAAGCTTTAAGGTTAAGGAATATTAGAGAGATTAAAATTAATCTTAATTTATTTAATTAAGATATTTATGACATATAAAACCTAATAAAGTGAACATAATAGAACATTTAGGACCATCTCAATTGGATAACGCAAATCTGATCAAATAGCATATGATGAGAAAATTAGCATATGGTCACTAAATATAATAATACTTAAAAGAATTTTAATTTAAAAGTGTATTTAAATTCAGATAAAGAAAATGGAAATCATTCCATGTAAAATCTAAAAAATTGTGTGATAATTTTAATTAGTTAAAAAATATATATCTATATGAATTAAGGAGTGAGACTTCAAATAACAAAAGCTCCAAATAGAGTAAGATCCGAGAGACGAAATGATGCAACTAGATAACTTTTGAAGTACTAGGGTTGCAAAAACTAAAATCATTCAAGTTGGGGGATGGAGAAATCTGAGCAAGGGGTATTTTTTCCTAGGAATCTTCAGTAATTAGTGAGCATGGCATAATTTTAGAGGAGACTTGTGAAAGGATACACTTGCGATCAAAAAGTTGTGGGCTTGGAAAATTTGCGCCCTGGCCTCTTTGTCAGGAGATTTTTAATGATGTTCAAGGTCAAATTTTTTAGAAGGTAGATTGACTTTGGGATAAAGCACTACCTAGAGATTTTGTTCTCATTTTGTGAGGACTTTATAATTTGGTTATATGTTTTCCATAAGTGCAAGCATCAATGGTTAATTATTCCTCCCGATGATGAGAGATCACTTTCGATTAAGGCTAGTCATGAAATACCTAGCATGTAGTAGCAACATGTAATTTTTTTAAGAATTATACTATTTATTTTTTTTAAGATGATGACGAACCTTATCAAGATCCCATGGTTCTGTCGTCCCGGGCTGTCGTGGTCTCTAGTCTACTTAGTCTGAGGAGGTAGTTGACCCAATCTAACCAAAGGATCCTTGTTAGTAGCCATGGGTTGTTTCATCTATGGGTAACTTGTAGACTTGAGGTGAATGCTTGTTTAAGGAGATAAATTTTAGTCAACCTTAACAGAAAACTTTATGCCTTATTGTGTGTACCCTATAATTTATTACTCGAGGGGGCCTTTAACCATTGGACAACATACAACTTTGATCGTAACCGTGATATAGTGGTGCTATTTTGTAGCAAAATCACTCGGTTAGAGGGCACATGTCACATCCCCGCTAGCATGAGATCATTTGAGAATGAATCATATTGATACAATCAAATACACATTTTGTTATTTGTGAGCTAAAGTTATTCTTAAATTTATCATTCTTTTACTGAAGTTATTATTAAATTTATCAAACGCCCTAGCAAAGATCGATACACTGAAGTTCTTGATGATAAGACTAGCATTGACAGGTCGTTTAGCCAGATTGGTAGTTATACTTTTGTAGTTTGATATCACATATGTCCCACAAAAGGCAGTTAAAGGTCAGGTCTTGACAGATTTTCTCACTGTACATCACATCCCTCTAGATTCACCATTCAATGATGACTAACCTGATAAACAAATTCTAACTATTCAAGATAAAGAAAAACTACAAATTTGTGAAATGTATATTGATGGAGCATAATCAATTAAACCTTCTTAACCTCCAAAAATTCCAAAGGCTTGTGCTGGTGTTGGTCTCATTTTTATAACACCTGTTGGGGGGATAATCATATACTCATTTGATTTGACTGAGCCTCGAATAAACAATTAAGTTGAATATGAAGTCTTAGTTGAGGGTCTTGAGATTGCTATTTCAATATGGATCCAAAACCTTCATATTTTTGTGATTCTCAGCTTATCATAAATCAAGTATTGGGTATTTACAAAATTAATAGGCTTGAGTTAGTCTATTGTCACAAACGAGTTCTTGAACTCATGAAACAAATTCAACACATTACATTGATTCGAGTCTCCCAAGCACAAAATAGCAAGGCAGATTCTCTCGCCAAGTTAGCAAAAGAAATGGTAAGCATAAACGATGAGCCAGTGTTGATTGGAGTTCATACCCGTTGAGTGCTAGTGTCAGCAATTCTACAATCCCCATTGATAGAGGGGTCATCAAGTTCATGTCAGAATGATACAACTCAACACAAATTATTGTTGAAATCCAAAAAGATAAGTCACAAACTACTTAAGAAAAATATAACTCTGAAGAAGTATTAGACTTTTAAAAGGATGCTTTCATGATTGAAGAGCAAGATGATTGGAGACAACCTTTCATCAATTATTTCAAAGAAGATAAGCTTCCATTTGAGAAATCGGTATGCATTTGTTAATGATACTCTTTATCGTTGATTTTCGACTAAATGTGATTATGATGCTTGGGAATTGAAGATGCTAATAAGGTAGTAATCGAAGTTTATGAAGGATTTTGTATAGCACATTAGTCAGGCCCTAAAATGACAATAAAATAAAAAATGAGTTTTTATTAGCCCTCGATGGTGAGAGTGTATTGAATAGGCTAAAAAGTGTCATGAACGTCAAATTAATAGTGACATTATACCAACCATTAAAAAAGCGGACAAGGCGTCTGCATTGAGTCGCGCCTCAATTCGAGGCGGAAGTCATGCGTATCGGGGCTTACGCCTCGAACCATCCAGCGAAGCCTACGATTTTTTCGCATGAGGCGTACGCACTAGAGCATAACGCCTCGAGGCAGTATGAGGCACCGCCTCGAAATTTTTTCTTCGGTATATATATAAATACGACGCAACCGATTCGTGTTCGTGTTTTCGCGTATAGGATTAGGGCTTCCTGTGAGAATTGAAAGACAAACTAGAGGCGAAGCCGTGAGGAAAGAGACGAAGTCGTGAGGGAAGGAGACGAAGCCGTGAGTGTAGGAGATGAAGTCGGAAGGAGAGGACGCAGGGAAAGAAACGAAGACGAAGTTGTGAGTGCAGGAAACGTTTAGGCATCTGTTAGGTCGGAAGAGCAGGTACGTGGTGTTGTGGCCTTGACTTTGACGTGCAGTAACGAAAGCCTGAATAACTCCTGATTCAGCTTTCTTTCATTTGTCCGCTCAGTACATGCTCAGTACTGCTAGGTACATGCTCGGTACCGAGCCAGTACCGCTCGGTATTGAGCAAGTACACGCTCGGTACCGAGCTAGTACCGCTCGGTACTCAGCGGTATATGCTCGGTACTGAGCGGTACATGCTCGGTACACGCTCGGTACTGAGCTAGTACCACTTGGTATTGA